CACCTGCCCGACCCGTTCTCCTGCCAGCGCCCGGCCTCGCCCCGCGCCCGGAGCTCCTTACCCGGCTCCGGTGGTCATCCTCCCCAACTTTCTTTACCTGAACTCCGAAGCGCCTTGTTTCTCCCCTGCGCACCTGGCCCTGCCCACCTCCCCTGCTCCCAGTACTCCCCAACAGCCAATCCCTCCTTCCGGCCCCACCTCTGGCTGTTTGAGAACATGGGCTTTGGACCTGGGCTTGCGCCATCAACTAAGCCATGTAACCTGACACCAACCCCCCCAGCCTATTTGCTCACCAGCAAGTGGGGGTGATACCACCTCTAGCGGGGCTGTGAAGGCAGGGCACCTGGGCTGCAGAGGCGCACAAGCAAGGGCTCACTTCCTTCCTTTCTTCCCAGCCCAGGACCCAGACCTGGACCCACTCCAAGCTGAGAAGCATTGAGCAAGTCTGGGCTCTCTCACTGGCAAACACCTGGGCCTTCTGCGGGAGGAAACACTGGCAGAAGGGTTCTCTCCTGGGGACCATTTGTCCCCTGTGCAGGGCCATTCACACCCTAGCACGCCCACGGCTAACTCAGGAGCCAGAATCTGGCCCATCCGATTAGGACTTTTGGAGGACTTTGGCTAAAAGCCATTGGCACAGCTTCCTGGGAGGCAAAAATGTCACACGCATCATCTGAAAGCCTCCAAGGCCTCCACAGGCTAGGTGAACCTCAGTCAAGAGATTCAGGTCATCCACACTGGCTACTGCCCTAGAGCTACAGACACCCTCTTCCCACCTCCCGCCAGCTATCAAGGGGTCTCCCGTCAGGTCACCCCTTTTCCTCCACTCCCACTTCCAGCATCTGAGTCCAGGTGCTTAGCACCTTTTCTGCAGCAGCATAGCAATCCCTCCCTGGATCCCTCACCCTTAGCCTCTCACCTCAGACTGCCAACTGGTACCCCGGGCCTCTGACTTCATGCTGCGCAACTCCCCCACACTCATCACCACCCCAGCCAGGACAGTCTGCCCCAGTCCCTCACCCACTTTGGCTTTCCTGCCTATGTAGCTTGCAGGAGCCCCCTTCACATGCACAGAATCCCTCCCTCCCCAAATCGATTCATCCAAGCACACACCCTTCAGGACCTATCTCACCTCAGAGGAAACTGGGTCTTCCAAACCCCACAACCCCCTTCATCTGTACACAGATACGATACCTACTGCCCTATGAGGAATGTGAACACTCTAAGCGCAGGGTCTTTGCATCCCATGCCATTCTGGGGAGCCATTACTCGCCAAGGATAGAGTGACTGAGGGACCAGGTGCTGAGAACCTGAGGTGGGGGGCATTTGGGCCATACTCACTGCCCAAGACTGAACACAGGCTCCAAGAAGAAAGTATGCCTTATGGGAAACACTCCTGGCTCCACAGGCTCTGACACCTCTGCATAGACACCAGTGAACAAGCCCCCACCTGCAGCCCCTGCATACAGCTACCCTGTGCTCTCAAAGGGGAGTGGGTTCTCTGGAACGTGCCTGACTTCCAATACTCCAACACCAGGACTGAATACCAGCCCAAAGCTCCTGTTTACTCAGGGCACACAAGGCCACCCATGGCCATTTAGTCCAGGAGGTCATGGGTCACTGTTCCCCTCTGAAAAGAGATCATACACATGCCCCCACTGCACCTCCCACCCGTGGGAGACCCCCCTTCCCTATCACTGCCTCTCCATGCACACTCCTGGTGTCCTGAGCTCTGCCTATGCCTGTGGAAGATTTCCCCGGGCTGTGTGGAGGTGCACCCAGCCCCAGTGGCACACCAGTGCTGCCCAAAGCACTCTCTATACCAGGGATCCAGATTGGCCACCAATTCCTATACTTATGTCCCCAGCAACATTTATCAACCATTCCCCCAGTCTTTCTTCCCTGCTTTCCTCTGATCACTCCTCCAGTACTAGAACCAGGAAGTTCTCCCCCACATGGTAGAGAAAGTGATCCAGGAGATGGGAAGTAACCGTGGTCACCAATGAGTAGGCAGCTGGCTAGGTTCCACTCGCTGGAACTCCCAGGCCATCTGACATCGGACAGTCAGGTAAGTGGAGGGCAGGCCAGGAAATTCAAAATGAAAATCTAGGCCTCAGGATTGCATCTATAACAGTTCAGAAAAGAGGACAGACAGGAGATGAGAGAGGAACTAAAGGGGGTGACTACCCCAACTCCAGGCCCAACCTTCAAGTCTTGGATCTTGATTCTCAATGAAAAAAACTCAGTCTGATTGTTTTAAATAATAAAACTCAGGATATTTTAATTGGACATTAGCACAAAGTTTTGATAATTAATGTAAATGAACCTTGTCTGCAAAGTGAAGTGTGCCTGCTGGTGAGTGACACAGATGCTGCTCCTTCAGATTGAGGTTATACACGCCCCCAAAGGCTCACTTCATTGCCACAAGTCTCTAACTAAATCCACATTTACAGCTATTGCCTCAGACCCTCTGGAGGAGGGGCCAGGGGTTAGCTGGCTCTGAATAGCATGTAGAGCACAGGTAGTGTGGCCACAAATGTCACACAGGTGACCAGGGTGCTGTAGATGGTGTTCCTGTTGACTTGGGCTTCTAGTCTCTGCTCCGTGTCCGACAGTGCCAAGATCATACTCCCCTGCTCTAGCAAGGAGCTGGGCATAGCCCCGTCTGCTGGTTCCACCAGGCCTGGGTGTGCTGCAGCCTTTACAAGCTGAACCACCCCAGCCATTTGGCTACAAGTCTTTTCTAGGCCATCAAGCTGCTCTCGTAAGCCTTCTAGACATGAATGGACTTGCCTGGAATGACTGAACTGCTCTTTCAAGGCAGCTGAAAGGACGTCTACATCTCTGTCTCTGGTAGGGGGAGTACCTGCCTGTGACCCAGAGCCCTGCCCCGGCCCAACAGCATGTACCAGGCCTCTCAAGTCCACCATGAGATTGTGGAGGTCCCTCTGCTGGAGGGAGTAGCTAGACGCCTGTTCTCGAATGGCCTCCTGGAGACTCACAGGCCCCTTCTGTGCCTCCAGGAGTAAGGCCTTCAGCTCCTGTAGCCGGACACGGTTCACATAGGTGGAGCCAGCCACACCAATCAGGGCCCCCAGGACTGAGCCAATGAGGGACCAGTTCTTGGTCCTCTCCGCCCTTGTGCGCTCCTTCTCATGACTTTCCCGCACAGCTGCAGAGAAGAGGGAGAATTTCTCGCGCTCAGAGTCTTCTGCACGCAGATAGGCTGTGCGAAGTCTCTTCTCCTCCTGCAGAAGCAAAGCCATGTTACTGGGTTACATGGGGACAAGGTGGCCCTGCAGCTACAGCCACCAACAGATGGCTCACTACCTTGTGCCTGGCAGAGTACATGTTCCACAGACCCCTGCTGAATGAATGAAGGTAGCACGAACCCGGCTGGGTCAGAGGGGCAAAGGAATTGGGAGTGAGCAAAGTGAGTTACATGATCGTCCCACCTGAGCAGTCCTGGGTTTGACCAGAGGTGTACTTATGTCTACACGAAGGGAAGTGTCCAGCACTTCCTGGGCCAGCCCCTCCATGGTTCTCCTTCCTCAGCATTCTAGGTCCCAGGCTACACTGCTCTGAACAGTTGGCCCCTGTACTCCAGAAGAAAGTAGATGGACAGGCTCTGGAAGCTTGGGGTTCTGTCCCTCCATAGGAGCTTCTGGTTCACCTCTGTACCAGGCCTCTGATTAAGGACCAGTCAGGGTTCCCATTTGGCCCCTCCATGATCTGCCAGGCTAGGGTCACTGTCCAGGTGTGAAAGGATTGCCTCCTGAGGTGCCTACCTGCAGCATCCTGTGCTCGAGAGTAGCCAGTTCCAAGTACTGACTGTCCTCCCTGGAGACACGGTCCAAGCGGTCCCTCACCTCCTTCAGCTTGGCCTGGTGAACTTCCAAGTCCTCCCGAGCCTCTCGGACAAGCCCTCGAGCCACCATGAACACTTTCTCAGCCTGCAAAGAGAAAACCGGAGGCCATCTGCACCTTCTCTCCACACCCACACAGGCTCAGCTGCATTCCCAGCGAGGCTGTGGCTAAGAAGAGGTCACTGGGGTGTGAGCTGCAAAGGCTGGAAACGGAATTCCTTAGACACTAATCCTGGCTCACCCAGTGGTGTTCAAAGTGCAGCCTTGGGCCACACCCATCAGAATCACGAGATTCAGCCATTCAAGCAGAAATAACATGCCCCTGAAAAAACTTGAAAACAGCTAACAATGCACACAATTTGTGTCCATCAAACCTGTGTTGGTAGGCTTGTGTTGGTAGGCTGTTTCCCATGTGTTGCCTTATATATGCCTCATAACAATGCCATGAAAGGCACTGCTGCAGCCTACAGTTTATAGACCTGGAAACACCAGCTCAGCCAAGCTCAAAATCTCCAAGGAAAGAAATGGCACTGTTTGTCTCAAAGCCCCCGATGAACCCCAGGTTCTTCCCACCTTGCTACACTACTCCATGCCTAAGCAGGAGTGGGAACAAAGATGACAGAATGCTTTTCTGCCACCACAAAGGACTTGACAACCACAGCTCGCTCTTTCCACTCACAGTGTGACATTTCCTACTGCCCTCTACCTTCGCAAAAGATGTTGTAATTACACACAGTAACAGTACTGCAGCAAGCCCCAGGTAACTTTCACCATCAATCCCCAAACAGTCCACAAAGGAAGTATTTGCTGGCCTCACAGACTGGATGTTAGTGGCCAGGGACTTATTAGTACACAGTAACTGTTTTTAGAGAAAGTAGGTGGCACAGTTACATGGAGACCTTCACCCCAGAAGCATCAAGCCCAGGTTTCCACATGAGAAATGAGGCCAAACACAAGTCTGGATGTGGCTACCCAGCACCACGTGACTGGTTTGGCACATTTCCCAAGTCAGAGGGCAGGGCCAGCCACCCCAGCTCCCCTCCTCACCTCTGTCACCTTTCCCTGGGCCTCTCGAACCTCATTGAGTCCAACAAACTCTTCATATCTATCCCACCAAGTCTTGGCTGTGGAGGTTGCTCGTTGCTGAATGCTGTGCCCCAGGGCTCTTCCCAGTGCTGGGAGGCGGTGATGCAGCCCGAGGGCCACTTCCTCAGGTCTTTTCTCTCTGGGTTGGCTTGGGCCTGGGCTGCAGAGAGTCCTGGTCATAAAGAGGTCCCTTCCAAGGAGGCCCCTCCGGACCAGTATGCGGGGCACACCCACGATGTGCTGCGTGGCAAAGCCAGGGCTGCGCCCCGCCATCAGGAGATCTGTGAGGGGGACGCCAGACAGGTCAGCTCACAGCTGAGAAAGGCTGGACATAAGTCCGTTCTGAGGCCTAGGGACAGTTCTGAACAGACTAATCCCACTAAAATCATCTAAACTGAGCACCACCCTGTTGGGCCCAGAGACTGCGGCCCCTGTGGCAAGAGGATGGTCAGGCTCTCCTCTGGGTGCTCTTGGGCAATGGAACGCAGTTGGGGAAGAGCCTCTAGGATACCATTCCTTCCAGTGCCTGCCACCATGCCACACAAAGCGGACCCTTCCCTGCTACCCACTTCCCTACATCCCCCAGGTCTCTCTGCTGTGACTTGAATGAGAATCCTGATGTCCAGGTTTCTGATATCAAAGACAGTTTTGAAACCAGAGTTGTATACATGCTGACAAAGCCCCACAAAGATGCATAAATACTCCCTGCAATGTTGTAGAACTCAGGGGAATTCAGGAAGACTAAGATCCAGGATCATTTCCGTTAAACAGCCTCAAAACCAACTCCCCAGACTCTCTAAGGACTGCCTCAGCACAAGGGAAGCAGAGTTTCAATTCTGTGCAAGGGCCTAAGGACGCAGGCCATTTGTGACCCAAGACAGAAAACTCTTAGCTCTCCTCTAAGACAATTCCAAGGGCAAAACAAAACAAAACTGTTTTTGCCACAGAGGACTTTTCTTAGGTTCACGCCATCCGTCTTCGCCCCCAGACTTTCCAGGCCACCAACTCTCAGTCTCACACTTCTTGACTTCCATAAGCTTTCTCTTTCCTCTCCAACCTGCCATTGCTCAACGGGTTAGGTTTCTCTCATCTTTCCCTCTTCCATCTTGCTTTGATATTTGGGCCTGCTTCTCATTACCTGAACAGCAGGGAGTCTCCTGTTATCCAGAATCAGGCCTCACCTGAGCCCAAGAGTGCCAGTGACTCTGAGGACCACAAAGAGGTGGCCAGGTGACCCGTTTTCTCAGAAAAAGCTGAGCCAACAGCACCCTCCTCTGGCCAAACCACACCTCAAAGTCCCTAAGCGCTGATCCTGGCTGTGAGAGCGACACCTGGTGGCCAACAGACGAGGCCAGAGAGAGAAAAGCAGAGGGAGCTGCAGACAGGAAGAAACTGAAGGAGCTCCAGATACAGAATAGAAAGGGGCTTCCTGATGGAAGGTGATGTGAGACAGAGGCCCCCCACAGCACCCTAGCCTCCTCTCCATCATGCTGTGCTAAGAGCTGTCTTTGGAGAAGCTCAGGGGCTTTGAAAACACAGCTGGTAGGGTAGAAACATGTCTTCTGGGCAAAGTGGGCCTGAGCTGAGAGCCGCAGAAGGGAACATCACTGTGACAGTGGTCCCAAGCTCGTGCCACATCCAAACCCCTGGGCCCCCTTCATAAGGCTGGGTTCCATGGCCATGAGGGTGCATACCATCCAGGCCCCAGCAGCCAGTCAGACTCCCAGGCCTCAAGGCCAGCACCCACGACGCACAGGCTGGGACTCTATAACACCCCTGCAGGTGTATCCTTCATCAAACAAAGCATGCAGTGTCCACCATGGCTGGCACCACTTTTCAACACCCTCTCTTCCCAACATCACTGCCCCTCTTGGCTTCCTCCAACCTTCTCAGCCTCCTTTCCCAGCACCGCCTCTACTAGCTGCCCACTTTTAGACCCCAGGAAGGTCACCCATTCCTGGCAGAGATGACAACTACTCTACTGTCTCTTGTGCAATCTTCGCTTTCTTCCCTCCCCTCCCCCACCCCCCCGTTCTGCATATGGCAGCCCAAGGCTCCGTAACACAAAAATCAGATTACATTCCTCTGATCAAAATCCCCCAAAAGCTCCCATTTCACCTGGCGGTGGCCAAGAAGCCCTGAGACCTCTCAGCCCTCATCCTCTTCCTTCTACTACCATACTCTGCTCCAGCCACTGTGCTGCTCTGTGCTCTGCCACCTCCTCCAGCTGGATGACTCTTCCTTCACAAGTCCACTCAGCTCACCCTGACATCTTCATCTTTGCCCAAATATCACCTCTCAGTAAGGCTTCCTTGACCACTCCCTCCCCAGCTAGCTTCTCTGCTTTATTTTTCTCCTGATGGACACATTTCCTTCTGTGTTGCCTATTCTCTCACTAGAACCTAAGCTGGGTGACAACAGAGACTTCATAAGGGAATGTGGCAATAATCCCCAAGTTGTTTCTCCACTCCAGTCCCTCCCCTCAGCCTCTCCACCACCCCACCAGCCCCCAACCCCAGGCCCCATTTCTCAGCCCCCAGGATGTCACCACTTAGATGTTTCACAGGCCCCCCAACCACCAAGGGGAAGAATGTTCCTGGCAAAGAGAAAAGGTGGAAAGTGCTTGAGGTTGCTCAAAACCTGAAAGGCAGTCAGTGCAACTGGAAAGCAAAAGCAGAGATGAATGGATGGAGAAGCTGGACAGGTGAAGCAGGGCCCTGAGGGTCAAGTTCAGAATCCTGCCCCTTCAGATCCATTCTCCCACTCTATGTAGATGGCTGTCTCCTACCAACTGCCCCTTCCTCAAGCCTCTATCATGTTCCTCATCTTCACTTCCAGCCTGATAGTCTGCTTGCTTCATTTTCCACCAAGAAAATAATTAAAAGTTGGAAGAGAACTTCCACAAACTCCCAGTCACCAGTAACTGCCCCATTTCCATCTCCTCTCTTGACCCTCAGGATAAAAAAACCCATGCTTCTAGGGAAGACCAACCTGTGTGCCCCAGGGCCCAAATCCTCTCTCTTCCTGAGACACTGCTCAGTAATTGATCTGACACCCCCACCAGCAACTGCCCCATTTCTCTGGTTCCCTTTATAACCAAACTCCTTGACAGACTGCCTGAATTCACTGTTTCTGTTCCTCTTCTCTGATTCCATCCAGCTCCCTCTGATCTGGCCTTCACCCCCTCCTCCTTCACATGCCGTTTCACTTGGTTTCCAGTGCCCACTCATCTGCCTAACCTCTGGAATATGCAGCACCCCAGCGCTCAGCACTCAGACTCCTCTCTTATCCAGTCCTGTGGTTTTAAAAATCATCTATGAAAATGGTCTAAAAAATTTATTTTGGTGAAGGCCATACAACTCTGTGAATATAATAAAACCACTGAATTGCACACATTGCATGAATTGTATGGTATGCAAGTTATACATCAATAAAGTTGTTTAAAAAAAAAAAAAAATTATACTCTTGACTCCTCCAGCCCATACCTCTCTCCACAGGGTTCTTGGCTCATTTATCAAACTTCCCAACCTGTATCTCTGCCTGAAAATCTTTTTTTTTTTTTTTTTTGAGACGGAGTCTTGCTCTGTCGCCCAGGCTGGAGTGCAGTGGCGCAATCTCGGCTCACTGCAACCTCCACCTCCCGGGTTCAAGCAATTCTCCTGCCTCAGCCTCCTGAGTAGCTGGGATTACAGGCACCCCACCATGCCCAGCTAATTTTTATATTTTTAGTAGAGACGGGGTTTCACCATGATGGTCAGGCTGGTCTCGAATCCCTGACCTCGTGATCCACCCACCTCAGCCTCCCAAAGTGCTGGGATTACAGGCAGGAGTCACCACGCTCGGCCCGTCTGCCTGAAAATCTAATGGAGATCTCATCTTCCCCTCCCAAACCTGTTTTTCCCATAGCCTTCTCCAACATGGATGACAGCAATACCAGGTTCAAGTATTCAGACCAACAACCTCGCATCACCCCTGATTCCTCATTTCTCTCCCACCTCACATCCATCTATCAGCAAATGCCACTGGCTTTCCAAATCCAGGATCCCTCCTCTTCTCACCTCTGCCACTGCTACCAAATGGTCCCAATGACCCACATCACATCTCTAGCCTGGACTATCCCAAGAGCCTCCTGACAGACGTCACCCTGCTTCTATTCCAGTCACTGCAATTTATTGTCAGCAGAGTCAATGTTCCTTTCCAAACACAGGTGGGACCATATCTCTCTGCTCAACCCCTACAACGGTTCCCCACTTCTCTCAAGGTAAAAGCCTGTCTTTTCCATGGCCTACAGGGAACCTACCCACTGGCTCTCATTCCTCTGACCTCATCTCCCACTAGTCTCCCTTTCCTCACTCCACTCCAAGCACATGGATCTTCTTGAAGTTGCTGGAGCGCACCAGGTTGTTCCCAGCTCAGGGCCTTCATGACAGCTGCTATCAGTGCTGCTTGCTCCCTCACCTTCTTCAAGTCCTGCTCAACTAGTAGCCCCTTGGGAGGTCTACACACACCCTATCAGATATGGCGATCCCACTCCCACCCTAGCACTCCTGACCCACTGTCTACACTTTATTTTTTCCATGCACCTATCACATGACCTACAATATGTATCTCATTTATTTGCTTTGGTTATAGTCTGTCTCACTCACTAGAATTTCAGCTTGGTACCTACATATAGTACATACCCAGCAAAAAATGTATTCATCTGCCTAATCTTTGGACACTGTAGCATCCCAGCACTCAGCACTGTTACTTAAAAAATTAAGAGCTTTGGCCAGGCGCGGTGGCTCACGCCTGTAATCCTAACACTTTGGGAGGCTGAGGCGGGAGGATCATGAGGTCAGGAGTTCGAGACCAGCCTGGCCAATATGGCGAAACCCCGTCTCTACCACAAATTTTCCAGGCATGGTGGCGGGCATCTGTAATCCCAGCTACTGGGGAGGCGAAACCCCATCTCTACTAAAAATACAAAAATTTTCCGGGCATGGTGGTAGGCACCTGTAATCCCAGCTACTGGGGAGGCTGAGACAGGAGAATCGCTTGAACCCAGGAAGCAGAGGTTGAAGTGAGCCAAGATCGTGCCATTGCACTCCAGCCTGGGCGACAAGAGCAAGGCTCCATCTCGGGGGGGAAAAAAAAGCTTTATTGATATATAACTTGCATACCATATAATTCACGCAATAACTTGCATACCATATAATTCACGCAATAACTTGCATACCATATAATTCACGCAATGTGTACAATTCAGTGGTTTTAGCATATTCACAGAGTTGTATGGCCATGACCAAAATAAATTTTTTAGACCATTTTCACAGATGAATAAACAGAATTCGCAAACTGCTGCACCCCTGACTATACTATAAAACAAACTCCTTACAGGGGTCTTCAAAGCTATAGGACCATGTGATATAACTCCCTCCCACTTCTGCCATCTCCCAGCCTACTCTACCTCCACCCAAGCTGTGCTTTCCTCGGTTCCAGGAACGCGCCGAGCTTCAAGGCCTTTGCACATGCACATGCCCTGCTGTGTACCTGAAGTGCTCTTCCCGCGCACGGCCACAGGCCTGGGGGGCCTTCCGATTAAGTACCCCTCCTACGGTTCCGGATTCTACCCTGGCAGGACGACCCTAGTTCCTCGTACCTGGCGCGGCCTGACCTAGCGTCTGCCACTCAGTTGACCTCTGACCTGTTAGTCCCCGCCCCTGGAGCGCCGTATCCGGTAGCGAGAGTTCAACTTCCTGACTAGGAGCCAATCAGGGGGGCCGCCTCGCTGTCTACGACAGAGGGTGGGGGAAGACGCGCCGTTTCCGGTGGCAGGGTCTGGGGAAAGGCGGCAGGCGCGATGTCCGGCCGCGAAGGTAAGTGTTGCGGGACGGGGAGGACTGTGAGGACTGTGGGGACGGCGGGGCGGGGACCGGGCGGCAGGGGCAGGCCGAACGTGTTCGTGTCGCCCACAGGTGGCAAGAAGAAGCCACTGAAACAGCCTAAGAAGCAGGCCAAGGAGATGGACGAGGTGAGGGCGGGCGCGGAGACACGGGCGGGTGCGGAGGGCCTGGGAAACAGGCCTGAGTTGAACCCCCTTTGCCTCTCCCCAGGAAGATAAGGCTTTCAAGCAGAAACAAAAAGAGGAGCAGAAGAAACTCGAGGAGCTAAAAGCGAAGGCCGCGGGGAAGGGGCCCTTGGGTAAGTGGGGGCTGAATGTAGCTCAAGCTGGCCAAACGCTATGAGCGTCTGTTGGGATGAGGGCGCGGACATGCGTTTTTCCTGCCTACTGAACTGCGAGGTCTCGTTTTCCGACGTCCGCTGTAGCGGATGGTCTTTAGCCAGTCTCGGATTTGCAGCAGCAGTAAGGGCCGGGAGCTGGAAACGAAGTCTCCTGCCTCCCAGGCAGTCTAGACTTCCATTCCTTAGGGAATGCAGAAACGGAAACATTGAAATGTATTTACCTCAGACGCAGATTCATACAGTTAAGTTTCTCAGTGTCTTCCGCAATCTCTTGCCCCAAATTCGTATTTTACTGCCTTCTTAGTGTTTGAACGTTATTTGACTTCGAAGTTTTTCTGTGTGTTTTTTGTTTTGTTTTGTTTTTTTGAGACAGAGGCTCACTCTGTCTCCCAGGTTGGAATGCAACGGCGCGATCGCGGCTCACTGCAGCCTCCGCCTTCCTGGTTCAAGCGATTCTCCTACCTCATCCTCCCAAGTAGCTGGGCGTACAGGCGGCTGCCACCACGTCTGGCTAATTTTTCTTTTTTTTTTTTTTTTTTTTTTGAGACGGAGTTCGGCTAATTTTTGTACTTTTAGTAGAGAGAGGGGTTCACCATCTTGGCCAGGCTGGTCTTGAACTCCTGACCTCGTGATCCACCCGCCTCGGCCTCCCAAATGCTGGGATTGCAGGCGTGAACCACCGCGCCTAATTTTTTTCGTATTTATTGTAGAGACGGAGTTTCACCATGTTGGCCAAGCTGGTCTCAACTCCTGACCTCAGGTGATCCACCCGCCTGGGCCTCCCAAAGTCCTCGGATTACAAACCTGAGCCAAAGCGCCCGGCCACCCTTTTTTTTTTTTTTGTACTCATATTATCTCTATGCTTTTGCTTTCTGAGTCTTTCTACTTCTGGGTGTGCCTAGACTAAAAGATAAAGTCCAGGCTCTTCAGTGTGCTGTTGCTCCATATGCTTTTCTAACTGAATCCTCCACCTTTTTACATCTTTTATGTAGGAGGAATTCATTACATTTCAAAAGATTTTTCAGGCCCAGCAGTTCTAGTACTTTATGTGCATCTTAAGCATTATTTTACATTCATCCAACTAGTGATTATTTTCTCCACAGTTGTTTATGCCCTATTTGAGCACTGTGAGCCACACTAGGCATGATGGAGACAAGGATGGTGGGAGTGTCATCCGGGGCTTCTCAAGACCTCTCTCCCAGTGGGTTTGATCCATTATTCTTTACCTACCCAGCACTGAGATTCTAGTTCTTGAGATTCCTTTTCAGAATGGTGTAAGGGGCCAGGCACAGTGGCTGACGACCATAATCCTAGTGCTTTGGGAGGCCTAAGCAGGAAGATTGTTTAAGGCTAGGAGTTCACAGCATCAAAGGGAGACCCTGTCTACAGAAAAATTTTAAAATTAGCTGAGCGTGGTGGTGGTGGCTCATTTCCTGTAATCCCAGCTATTTAAAAGGCTGAGGCAGCCTCATTTAAGTACAGGAGTTAAAGGTAAGAGGATTATTTGAGCACAGGAGTTCAGGCTGCAGTGAGCTGGGATCACGCCACTGTATTCCAGCCTGGGAGACAGAGTGAGATCCTATCTCAAAAAAAAAAAAAAGGTATCTTGCACCCTTTTTTAATCTGTGATTGTGTATAGGGAAAAGATCAGTCCTTAGTGTAACTCTATGCTAGTTGTTTGTCATTGAGCATCATCTAATATTTTTTTTTTAAGGTTTATTTTGTCAGGCCCCTTTGGATCTTCTTTCCTGTATTAAGCATATATAACCCTACACTGTTTCTTTTTTTTTTTTTTTTTTTTTAAGATGGAGTCTCACTCTGTCACCCAGGCTGGAGTGCAGTGGCACGATCTCAGCTCACTGCAACCTCCGCCTCCTGGGTTCAAGTGATTCTCCTGCCTCAGCCTCCTGAGTAGCTGGGATTACAGGTGCACACCGCCATTCCTGGCTAATTTTTGTATTTTTAGTAGAGACAGGGTTTCACCATGTTGGCCAGGATGGTCTCGATCTCCTGACCTTGTGATCTGCCCGCCTCAGCCTCCTAAAGTGCTGGGATTACAGGCGTGAGCCACCGCGCCTGGCCCAATCCTACACTGTTTCTTAAATCGCCTACTGGGTTCCACATATATGATGATTTGTAAATTAGTAGAGTATACCAGGTGCCAGGATCATAATATGGAAGGCAGTATAACGTGGCAGTTAAGAATGTGGACTTTGAAGTCAGACAACTCAGGTTGGAATCCTGGCTTGTCACATACCTTGAACAACACCTAACAATAATACTACTTTTTTGGCTGGGCACAGTGGCTCACGCCTGTAATCCCAGCACTTTGGGAGCTGAGGTGGGTGGACCACTTGAGGTCAGGAGTTCGAGACCTGCCTGGCCAACATGATGAAACCCCATCTCTACTAAAAATACCAAAATTAGCCGGATGTGGTGGCGTGTGCCTGTAGTCCCAGCTACTCGGGAGGCTGATGCATAAACAATCGCTTGAACCCGGGAGGCGGAGGCTGCGGTGAGCCAAAATTGCACCACCGTAGTCCAGCCTAGGTGACAAAACAAGACTGTCCCAAAAAAAAGGCTGGGCTCGGTGGCTCACACTTGTAATCCCTGCATTCTGGGAGGCCGAGGCAGGCGGATCACCTGAGGTCAGGAGTTCGAGACCAGCCTGACCAATATGGTGAAGCCCCGCCTCTACTAAAAATACAAAAATTAGCTGGGGCTTGTAGTCCCAGCTGCTCGGGAGGCTGAGACGGGAAAATTGCTTGAACCCAGGAGGCAGGGGTTGCAGTGAGCCGAGATCGTGCCACTGCACTCCAGCCTGGGCGACACAGCAAGACTCTGGCTCAAAAAAAAAAAGAACTTCTTTTTCTGTAAAATGGGTTGATAGGGCATGAGGATTAAATAAGCCAATCTGTGAAGTATACAGGAGTGTAGATCTAAACCAGTGCGCAGCCAGCCACTGCTTGTAAACTCCATCTTATCCTCATTTTACCTTTACCTAGAACAGACAATATCAGTGAAGCTGCTATCCATGCTTGTGTTAAAGTGAATGCCCAGTACAAAAGCCAGGCTTTACTAAGGTCCACAGCAGGTCCATGGGGCTTCTACCGTAAGAACTATATTTTTCCCTAATTGTGACTATTTTTCTTTTGCAGCCACAGGTGGAATTAAGAAATCTGGCAAAAAGTAAGCTGTTCCTTGTGCCTGAGGAGATGGTGACCCTTTATTTCATCCTTATTTAAACGTCTATATTCCCTGCCATAACATCTTTTGCCACCTAAAGCTGGAATTAAGTGTTGTCTTGGAGCTGTTGTACATTTAAGAATAAACTTTTGTAAAAAAAAAAAAAAAAAACTTACAGTGGTTCATCATCTCTTTAGTTGTTTTCACTAAGTCATTCCTACCATAACTGTGAATTTAAAGTAAAACCAGCTCAGAACCTTGCCAGAGTCTGCTCTTTGGTCTTTGTTCTACCCTAAACTTTGTATCACCTGAAATTAAACCAACTCGTTTGAAAGGATGTCCTTCTCGTGTGGTTGTATGCCTGACAATACCTTACATGAGGTTAGTGGAAGAATTTGCACGTTTTTTTCTTGGTGGGGGAGGGGGTGGAGTGCAGTGGCATGATCTCTGCTCAATGCAACCTCCACCTCCCGGGTTCAAGGTGTTCTGCTTCGGCCTCCCAAGTAGCTGTGGTTACAGGCACCTGCCACCATGCCTGGCTGATTTTTTGTATTAGTAGAGGGGGGGTTTCACCATGTTGGCCAGGCTGGTCTCAAACTCCTGACCTCAAGTGATCTGCCTGCTTCAGCCTCCCAAAGTGCTGGGATTACAGGCATGAGCCACTGTGCCTGACCAGCATTTGTGCTTTTAAAACCCATCTTTATGTTGTGACATCCAGATTGCTGAATGTTTTGGTGAGACTTGTTCATCTGTTCATGTAAGGCGTGTGCTATATGCAGGCACTGGGGTACGTACCAGGGAACAGTTCCTGTTGTCAAGGAACTTCTCTACTGTGGAAGAGGCAGGGCAGGGCAAATGATATGATCCTCCAAGTTGCTGGCAGTGAAGTCCCCATGCCCACCAAACAGGTCCAGGGCAGCAGCTGCAGGAAGCCCCAGCCCACTTGCTGGTGGATGGAGGGGGTGCCGGTGCCAGTGCCAGGCAAGGGGTTGGGGGTGAGGCAAAACAGGGGCTCACTCTACCTCCTGCTGCCCAGGACTGGAGTCCCAGGCATACCTACCGCTTGCCCCTCACTAAATGCAAAGACAGAGACCATAATGTATGCTAAATATGTATTAAAACGCTTAGCTGGGTGTGGTGGTGCACTTCTGTAGTCCCAGCTATTTGGGAGGCTGAGGTGGGAAGATCACTTGAGCCCAGGAGTTTGAGGCTGCAGTGAGCCAAGATCACACCACTGCACTCCATCCTGGGAGACAGAACAAGACCCTGTATTTTTAAAAAAAATTAATTCAGAAGCACAAAGAGAGCTCTGGAACCATTATGGGGCTTTGCTAAATCAAAACTAGGTTTTAGAATATTTAAAACTTTCATGATTAATGTACTAGATATTAACCGCAGGATGGGGGGACAGGGGGAAGCCTGTGTTGGTCCTCTCCAGAAAGTTGCACAGCCAGGAGCACCCTTCTATAGGCTTCAGGCATTCCCTATGGGGCCTTGCCAGCTGGCACCCAGCCGTATGCTGCTAAAACAAGCCTGAGCACCAGTGATTGACACTGTTCGTGAAAGCAAGTTACTTGGTAGAACCTATCCCCCTTTAACAAATGAACAATCCTGTCTCTTTCCAGGACCAGAGTCCTGCAGCAATTAAGCATGCAACATTTGGGCAGCTATCTGAGGGAGACTACCAGTTACTCCAAAAAACTTTCAACTCCTTAGACACTGAAGGCCCTGATAGCACTCTCTTTTTCATTTAATCTTTTTATTTAATGCCTTCACAAACATTCCTAGGACACTCACAGGTGAAGTTTGGCACTGAGCAGGTAAGGCTGAAAGGGTCTTGCTCCTGTTACTCTCCATTGCCAGTTCTCTATTGCGACTGTTCTGCACACCACAGCTGCCCAATAAAATGTGTCAGGCACGCAAGCCCACCTCAAATTGCTGCTCCTTTGTGAAGGTTTACCTCTGTCTTCGCCACAGGTAACTGACCTGGCCTTTCTGTGGCTTCCCTTTCAATGTAGAATTCTCGTGTTAGTCTTATGTGCCGGCCTCCTACCCCTCTATCCTGCTAACTTGACTCAACCTGTAGGACAGCCCAGGTGCCATTTACAGAGGGACTTCCTTGACCTCCTGAGCCCTATTCTATGCAACCAGGGCTTACAAAAAAAAAAAACACTCCAGCACTCAGAGGAATGAAAGTTAACAGCCTGAGCAGCTCCCACCCCCTCCCACACAGGAACAGCTCCAAACATCACTCCTCCTTGGACTTTCCTCCTCCCTAAGCCTACCTCAAATGTACATATGTGAAACATTCACTATACCCGAAGATGTCTGCACACGACAGCTCTATTCATACTCCTCATCCAACAAATTACACTCTCCTCAAGAAAGCCTCGGGGCTTGTAGGAAGTAGGTCTGGCGGGAGAACGAAAGCGACGTCACGGAGACCACATCCCTGAATGCTGCCTGGCTCGACTCAAACGCAACACGCGTTAAATGCTAGGGCAAGCTGCTCCTGCGCAGCCCTCCTCCACAGAGTGCCAGGGAGAGAGCGTAAAGCCAACCGCGAGGCGGAGCTGGTGCGCCTCCGACCCGCGCCTACTGTAACCGGTCGTGCGGCACTAAGTCCTTGCAGCAAACCTGCCGAATTCCAGCCGTGGACCTCTGAACACCCGGCAGGGCCGGGTTTGGCGGCGCGCTGGGACTTTCGTCATTCTTCCGCGCCCTCCGCCTGCCAGCTGATTGGCCCCTGGGCCAGGGGCGGGGCACTCGCTGTGGAGGCAAGCCGCGGCGCGCGGGCGGTTGGTCCGGTTCTCGGGCCTGGCGGTAGGCAAGTCTGGCTTGTCGCTGTCGGATACTTGGGGTGAGCGGAAAGCATGGCGGGGACCTCCGCGCCAGGCAGCAAGAGGCGGAGCGAGCCCCCGGCGCCTCGCCCCGGCCCGCCGCCGGGCACCGGGCACCCCCCTAGCAAGCGGGCCCGGGGCTTCTCCGCGGCCGCTGCCCCGGACCCTGACGACCCGTTTGGCGCGCATGGGGACTTCACTGCCGACGACCTGGAGGAGCTTGACACCCTCGCGTCACAGGCCCTGAGCCAATGTCCGGCCGCGGCTCAGCACGTGTCCAGTGAGTGCTCCTCGGGGCCTTTTTCTCGGAGGGAGTTGCAGACCGCGCCAGATCGCCTTGATGGCTGTGGCTTCGGAGCCTCGCGGCCAGCACTGCCCTTTCGCCTTTTTAAAATATGGGAACACTCTAATTTAAGCAGCGGTTGTCTTCCAGAAGGTCCTTTGATTTTAGGGGGAAATAAATTAGCCAGGTCATACAGCAGATTTGAAACATAGAACGCTAAGTTGACATTTTACTTTATTTTCTAAAGTTTAGGCCACTTGGTTCTTGGTTCTAAGCAGAGATCCTTGGAACACACCTACCACCACCATCAGAACCATCACTACCCATGCGTGAGGACCCATTCTTGTGACAAGTTTGAGCGGCTTTAGATCTTATGAAGCCCACTGTCTCCCTTGGGCAGTGTTAGCATGGGAGGAGTCTGACACAGGCAAGAGATGGAATAAATTTATTCTTTTATACAACCAGTAAACTGTGCTAGGTGCCCAAACGTGAGGAACTGCAACTGAACTAACAATGAACAAAATACAAAAACTGTCCTTCATGGAGCTTACATGCTAGTTGAGGAATGAGTGAAGTCTTGAGGACTCCCAGAAAGAGAAAGATTTTGAGTGCACCTTGCATCTGTACTTGGGTGTCTCAAGGCACCTTAAACTCAACACGATCATTTCCTGGAAACCCAGTCCTCCTCCAGCATTTCTAGCATGGTGCCGGCAAAGCAGACATTCAGAGAATGATGACCACAAGGAAGTAACTAGCACCACTCTCCATCCAGTGGCACAAGGCGACTCTTCGCCTTTCCTTGACTCTACATCTAATTTCGTTGCAAAGCCTGTCAAGCTTACCTTCTTAATCCTTCTCTGGACTCTTATCACTTCTACCAACTGCCTGATCTATGCTGCCATGAGTCCTCCCTTGAACAATAGTCTGCTAAATTGGTTTCCCATTTCCAGTCTTGACTCCCTACAAGTGAGGCTTCACATTACATTCCGAGTGATCTTTTCAAAACTCAAATCTGGCTGTTATCTTATATACATAACTATTATCTTATATACATGAACACCCCTATTTTTTTTTTTTTTTTTGAGACGGAGTCTCACTCTGTCACCCTGGCTGAAGTGCAGTGGTGCCATCTTGGCTCACTGCAGCCTCCACCTCCCAGGTTCAAGCGATACTGCCTCAACCTCCCTAGTAGCCTCAGCCTCCCAAGTAGCTGGGATTACTTGTGCCCGCTACCACGCCCAGCTAATTTTTGTATTTTTAGTAAAGACGGGATTTTGCCGTGTTGGCCAGGCTGGTCTCAAACTCCTGACCTCAGGTGATCCACCTGCCTTGGCCTCCCAAAGTGCTAGGGTTACAGGCGTGAGCCACCGCACCCAGCCATGAACACCCCTAATGAAAGCCCTTTAATAATTTCCCACTTCTAGTGTAAAGACCAAAATCCTTAACATGGCCTGCAAGGCCCAGTCTGATTTGGCCCTTTCTCACTCTCTGGGTTCTGGCTGCACTAACTTTCTTTGAATTCTCTCTGCTTCTTTACAATACAGGAACTTTATACATTGTTCTTTCATTGTACATTGAGTATACTTTCCATTCATTCATCTCCACTTATCTGGTTAATTCCTACTTGTCCTTCAGCTCTCAGCTCCTTCAAGTCTTCCCTAGGGAAATGTTCCAGTCATCCCACGTAAGTCAGATTGCTGTCATATTACAGACTTTCCTGTATTTGTTCTCTTCTGCAGTTCTTAATCACAGTTATAATTTTCCATTTATCTGTGTGATTATTTGTCAAATGTCTTTTAAGCTCTGTGAGTATAAGGACAGTATCAATTTTGCTCGCCATTGTATCTGTAGAGCCTAACATGCCTGGCATATTGTATGTGGTCAGTAACTTTTTTTTTTTTTTTTTTTTTGA